GTTGTTGATTTCTATGGTAAATGATTAGTATATTGAAATTATCAGGAAAATTAAGCTAAACTACCTACCAGAATCCAGTTCCTAATGACATGAAAATGATGCTTGTTGTTGAAATTTGACAAACAGATTTATATAAGGAGGTGAGACTGTTTTATACTTTCTAGTCGTATATTGTGATTTGTCCAAGATGATATCAAAAGTTCAGTATTATAGGTTGAGAATCCCATATCTGAAATACTGAAAAGCAACAGACACACAGAAAAGTGATAATGAAAACTATTATGCAATAATAATAAACCATTTGCTCTGTGAGTGGTTTGTTGGAAATACGAGAAAATTCTGACCCATTCACAGCCAAATTGATGGCTGATGCAAGTTATCTTCGCAACACTCCTTAAAGCCAGCAGTACAAACATTCCTGTCCAAGATTTTTTTTTTCTAAACTAATAATTTATTTGTCTCACTGTAATTATGTTTACTCATCCTGGTACTTACCCAACTTAATGAATTCGGTTTAACCTAGAAAAGATTTAAAAATCCTAGATTATTTCAGATTTAGGATTCTTATCCTGTGTCAGATTTCCTGGGTGGTTTCACTTATTTTTACCCATTTACTGTGGTTTATGAAGATGTTTATGTATATACATATTAGCACTATGTATATATGTTAGCATGTTTACATTATGTTTGCCAGATTAAAATTGATTTTGTATATCCAGAAATTGATCAAAGACTTGTACATAAGGGAAAGTTTTGTATTGCATGATTATTCCTTCTCATTTTGATAATGTACTATTTACTCCACAAGATATAGGATTTAACAGGGAATATGAATGCAAGAAGCACATTCATTTGAATAAGAAATGTAAGCTGATTAGTTGAAAGTATATGTTGATTTGTGGTGTAAGGTATAAAGCTATATTGTGCTATTAATTCCTGATTGAAATTTAGACAACTGATATTTTGCAAAATTAAAACCAGATACTAAATTAGTCACTATATTTATTTTGATGTTGATATTCATGATAGGGTTGTAATCTTTGTGAGACTAAACCACACCTGTTGTCTGCTTCTGTGGTTCATCTTCAATCAAAAAAGTAAAAAAAGAATAGGATATTCTGAAGCATATAGTATAATGTAAATAATGAAGTTTGATAGCTTAGGTGCCCTATGGTGTTTTATTCAGGAATGTATATCTTATGAGAGGCAGGAATAGTGAGTTATATATATATATATATATATATATATATATATATATATATATATATATATATATATATATATATATATATATATATTTATACATACACATACATATATATATACTTATGCATATATACATATACATATATATCTATATATTGTACATTACATATATATGTATGTATGTTATATATATATATATATATATATATATATATATATATATATATATATATATATATATATATATTTATATTATATTATATTATATTATATTATATTATATTATATTATATTATATTATATTATATTATATTATATTATATTATATTATATTATATATATATATATATATATATATATATATATATATATATATATATCCATGCATTATATTATATTATAGTATATTATATTATATTATATATATGTATGTATATATTTATATGTATGTATATGTATATATTTATATGTATATGTATGTAGATATTTATATGTATATGCATGTATATATTTATATGTATGTGTATGTATGTATGTATATGTATGTATATATGTATATGTATGTATATGTATATGTATGTGTATATATATATGTATGTGTATTTAAATGTGTATTTGTATATGTATATGTATACGTATATAGATACACATATAGATATATACATATATACACACACGCACATACACATATTCATACATATATGACTGGGGCCTTGGACCTAGGTCACTCTGGTAATAAACCAACCATACCACACAACCCACTAAGTGTGCAACTAGGTTCTAACTACCTCCATAGACATTAGCTATCTATTCATACAAGAGTAATGATAGCAAGATCTTACACACACTCCATCTTTCCGCACTTGGTGGAAAGATGGAATAATTCCATCTTTCATATATATACACCACAGTACATCTGACTTCAGTTTCAACTTTCAAAATCAATTTCCACCAAGTGCCCACAGGGAGTGTGTATAAAATCTTGCTATCAGAACTCATGGGTGACTAGAGGTAATGTCTGTGGAGCTAGTTAGATCCAAGTTGCACACTCCTTTTAGTGGGTTGTATGGTATAGTTGGTATACTACTGGCCCTCTGGTTTCATACCCGGAGTGACCTAAGTTCGAGGCCCCAGTCAGGGAGGGTCGTTATGTATCTATATCAATGCAGCAATGCATTATTCCATCTTACATTCATACATACATATACATACACATACACATATATACATACATGCATACATACATGTATATGTATATGTGTGTATAAATTTATAAATATATATATTTTTTTCATTTCTTTTCTTTTCTTGTCTTTTCTCTTCTTTTCCTTTTTTGTTTGTACATATGCCAAAAGCACTCTACAGTTTATTTAAAAGTATTTTGTGGCTTTCCTACTTGTCATTTGATTTGGAACTGTGTTTTTGATTCCCATATATATATATATATATATATATATATATATATATATATATATATATATATATATATATATATATATATATATATATATCTTTTCTCTCAACTATTTGGTCTGTTATTATTAAGATGAAAGGAGTCTGTCAGTCAGTACAATTTTAAAGCTAATTTGTAATCATATATGCAAATACAAATACACAAATAAATAGCTAATGAGCTTGTAAAGTTTATATTGATAAGTATACAGTCCACATGAGAGATTAGACAATCTGCATATCATGCTAGGAAATTGTAGAAGGCATGATTTTAAGTGAAATGATGCAATCACATTTATTGAGTTTTACTAAAATTTCATTAAGAAGCCTAGAAAATCTGATATATATGTAACATGTGGAGTATATGGTTAAAATTCATACTACATATGGACTTTGTATAAGTGGTGTAACAAGACTAATATTCATTCCACACCCATTGAATTATATAAAAATGATTAAACTACAAAAATGATTAGTAAACTTACGATTACAGAAACAGATTTTGTTTCCACTGTTTCAAAATGAAATTGGCGGCCCCAATGTAAGGGTGATGTATGTTACAGATTTGTGAACGTTAAGCTGAAAAGGAATTTACATAATCTTCTCTTTGTTTCAAAACAAGAGGCACTCCTTTCCTATTTAATTTTGATATTTTACATTTGTACATGAAATTACTCCAATGCAGTATTTATAACACTATTTGGAAAATATGTTGCTTACCTCATTCTTGCACAGGGCCCAGCAATTATTCCTGTATGATATTGCACTATTACACTAAGAAAAATGCATAATATTTCTAAAACCATTTTTGCTACTAAATTTTATTACACATATATCACTGCTTACTGCATGAGAAATTTCTCAGAAGCATGTGATCATATATTTGCACATAAGCACCATTTTTACAGAGGATTTCTATCTGCACTTAAATATATGCACAAATTTTTTACATGTTTCATATGTAAGGTCTTATAATGGTAAAAGTACCTCCTTTGATTTTTATCAAATAGTCTATGTAATGCTGATTGTTAAATAGATTAAGAGAAAAGTATACAAAGGACATAATATGCCTTCCTCCTAAGTCAGGGGTCGGCAACAGGGTTGATATTAACCCCAAAGGTTCAGTGTAGGATTGAAATTGTTATAAGGTATTGTAAGATACAAAAAGGCTTAACCTATTTATTTTGAGGCATAACACTAATTTTATTGTATTGTATGCAATTTGAGTCCTGACAGTCATTTAAATAAAGGTTCACACTGGACCCAAAATCAAAATAAAGTATCCTGTTATAATACTTAGAGTTTTGCCTGCTGCTGACAGTGTGGGATGGAGTTCTTGTTTTTATGTTTATTTCATTCTTTTATTCCTACCACAGCAGTTATTGGGTTAAATATAAAATGCGCTTGATTAATAAAGCTACCACCCATTGAGTGTAAGAAAAGTTAATATTTTTTGTTAATTTAAAGAGAGGTTGATGGATGATTATAGAGTCCTTAAAGGAGTCAGCAGCGAAAGTGGTTGCCGACCCTTGCCTTGAGTTTATATATATATACATATATATATATATATATACAGACAAAGTACAATGGACATTTAGGTATTTTAGCAACATGGTGTAGTTTTGTTTTGTGAATTCCCTTTGTGAAATTGTCATTAAGTGGCATTAGCTTATTCTCAACACAGAAAAAATGCTCAAGAATTTTCTTTTCCTGATTAGTGGTTCATGTAACGGTGCAAGTTAGGGCTGTCATATGTTGTGTTCTAGTCTTGAAGTATTCCATATATCAATGTAATATGATTACTGGTATGCTTTTGTGCTTCATTCATAGTATGAGAGAATTGTAATATTGTTTGCATAGTGTGTGAATTAGACATTATGAAGTCTCTCTGTGCACTATGTAGGGAAAAGCCTTGCTCAACTAACATTTGCATTTGATTTAATTTCCATCAAGAGTAGCTCGACTCCCTCCAGTTGTCACAAACTTTTATATCCTCAATTTCTCAGTGGAGTATTTTCAACATTGCTGTGATATTTTCATATCATTCATTTATTTTTTAAATGTACATAAGTAAATAAGTTTACCAAAGACATCAGGACATCAGTCTTGTTTATAAATGAGATGATATGTATCTCACTTCATTGGAAAATTTGCTGCTATGATATGTTATCAGTTCAAGAGTCTATTCCCATCATAGTTATGATAATTATTGTTTTTAGCTTTAATGCTTATTCCTTTTCTTTACCATTATATATTTCTCTTTTACTCTTGAGATATTCACACGTATATTTTGCATAGTATTGAGTGTACTCTATATATACTACTGCTATTAATAACATGCC